CGAGCCAAGCCAACTGCTTTGAGAAAACGCGCATAGCAGCTGTTCCTTGAAAACTCCGAGCTCCAGTTGAAATGAAATGGCGTATCGATGTCAAAAAAGGAACGCAAGTCTGTCAGATAGCTAATGGGTCCACTGCGATCCTTGTAGACCTTCTGATGCGATATAATGCGACTGGTGTAGTTCGTATTGCGATACTCGCCAATGCGATGACGACACTCCTCAAACAGATGACCGCGCGACGAGCAATAGCTGCAGTGCTTGACACGATACTGCACATTGCTCTCCAAATGTGCATTGGTGCGGGTCTGTGGATAGATTGAGAGTATTATTAAGATTGATAGAAAGTGGTAATAGTCATTTAAGCTTACGGTGGAGTGATAGCGACGCCACTTGTCGGGACACATGTCGGTGCTGTGGCCACGCATCTTGCACAACTGGCAGACCATGCGACTATGAAACGAGCATTTGTTGCACTTCTGCACATACATCGACTGTTTGGCGCCGCACTGCAAATATAAATTATAGTTTATTTGTGTTAATATAGAAAAACTAAAAGGCATAAGATTGTACTCTTCTCAATATGTTAAAGCTTCGAAAAGGGAATAGATACACTAAACTAGCATCTGGAAACAGATGTTGGCCTCATCGACTTTCAAGAGTTTACACAATCAGTTATATATTATGCCCAAGCTGAAGTCTGTATGTAATGTACTTGAAACTTACCCCCAAGCAGATGGCGTTTGGGCAGCGCGGTTCGGCGTGACCCGTCATGCCGCAGGTGTAGCAAACGACGGGCTTGCGTGGACGCGGGCACTTGGAGCGCATGTGGCCCATTTCAAAGCAATTGGTGCACTTCAGATTCGAGCGTTTGCGCATCACAGGAAAACGATCTGCATTTACTATGCGCCAATCGCTGCGTTGTCCTGGAAAAGAGAAGAGCATTAGGCGATTTCAATTGTGTTTGCATAAAGGATTCAACACCTACCTGTCATGGCTTTTAGTATCTTATGTAAGCTAATATTCTCGCCATGCCAGCTGTCATTGTAGAAGCGACACATTTCATCGTTCCAACCAACCAAGTCTCCGCCGCGCAGCTTCTCCTGGAGCCCCGCCATGTTGTGCTCCACTTGCACCAAAGCTAGTTCTGATTGTGGTTCTGTCTCTGGCTGCAGCTGCATGCTATTCACTTCAGCTTCATCATCCGCCGCTTGCAACTCCAGCTCTGTGTCTTGTTCCGGATCCGGATCCGTGGTGCTGACCACCTGCTGCTGTCTGTTATCCGGGGAACTCTGCTTGGCTTTGGCGCGTCTTGTATTCTTGTCAATGCGTTTGAAGACTGCGCTTATGCGCTCCGTCATCGCATCATTCATCTCAGCCTCATCCTCAGTGTTCGCGTCGGAGCCTATGCTGTCCATTGCCTCATCGCTCTCACAAGCCAGCTGCGGCTGAGGCTGTACCGATTGCTGCTGCTGCTGCTGCTCCGGTGGGTGCTCCTTTTCCTGCTCCTGTTGCAGCAGTCGCTCGGCAATTTGACGTGCCGTGGGCAGCGACTCTTCAGCCCCGGACTCGGAGCTGGCTTCCTCTTGAACGGTCGCTCTCTTAGCATCCGCTGGAACGGCACTATCCGAGCTACGCCTTTGGCTTATGCGTCGAATCTTACGCTTGCAGCGCTCCACAGCCATGCCACGGGCTATGCCCGGCACGCCCGTTGCCTGGACACCAGCATCATCGCTGTCGGTGTCGTCGTCATCCTTATCGCACTCATTGTTCGGATCAGATTGGCTTTGGTTGGTGCTTGAGGCGCGTCGCTTGCGCAGACGTTTCGTTTTGTTCACAGTGACCTCCACGACCTGTTCCACGTCCGTTGTATCCGACTCGGAGTCGACGTTGCGTATAATTGTTGGCACAACCTTCTGCTTGGCCTTACAGTAGACGCCGCTCTCAGTGAGATCTGATTCGCTCTCGTAGACATCAAGTGCGCGGAATTGTTGCTCATCCACGCGATAGTTTTGCTTGATCTCTTCGAGCCTGGATGGCGGCACGAATTCGTATTCGGATGAGGTGTCAGCCGCCTGCTCCCGCTCCGCTTGGCTGGCCGGCTCGGCAGCCTCTCTGATGGCATTTTCCGTCAACACCAGAAGATCCTCGTCCGTGGCACGTGCTCGTTCGGCCAGCAGGCGGCAGGTATCGTTTTGCACAATAAAATCATCGCTGGACAACACCGAGCTGCAGGGCGAGTGCAACTGCGGCGCCATTGTCAACTGTTCCGTGACGCACTCGCCGCCCAGACTAACATCGGCCGCATCCATGGCGTTCTCCTCCATATAGGGCTGTGTGGCCGTGTGCTGCTGCTGCTGCTGCTGCTGCTCCTCGTCGTCGCTGGCGTCCACATCTATGATGGGCACTGGCGGCAACGGCACAATCATTACGTCATCTGCATCCGACGATTTCTCACTGTCCACGAGATCGATAAGTTCCAAGGGTTGGCCCGCCGCGTTTGGCTTCAGTTTCTTGTTGGCCTGCACGCGCTTAGACTTTTGTCGCTTCTCGGCCAGACGCTGGAACTGCTCCAGCTTGCGACTGGCCTTGCCAAAGGGACCTGGCTCACGTTTCACTTTCGACCAATTTGGCGGTATGGCCACCAGCAGGCGTTGATCAAAACGTTCCGGTTCATCGTAATCATGCGCTTTTGTATTTGAGGTTGAATGTGGTTTCGGTGGTTTTTGTACTTGTGGCTGTTTCTTTTGCGGCTGCTGCTGCATTTTTGGTGGTTGACGCATTTGTTGTTGTTGTTGCTGCAGCAGCTGCTGAACTGGATTGAGAGCTTTGGGCTGTTTCGGCTGTGGAGCTGGCTTTTTGGGACCGTTGACCTTCTTTGGCAAGACGTGAGCAGCAGCAGCGGGTGGTTGTGGCTCCAAATTGGATCCGGGCTCCTCTGATGTGGCAGCTACAGGAATATTGAGAAGGGAACAAATGGTTTATTGGCAGAACGAGAAACGTTTTACTTTTTATTGCTATTAACTGGTAGCGTTAAATCAATGATGTACATTTATTTGTCATTGTGTTAATATCCAGGTGGATTGAGCAGGCATTTTAAATGCTCGTTACGAATATCTCTGTTGTCGGGTTGACTCAAACTATAGCCCTGACTTTTGAGCTCGTCCAGCTGCCCCTCGTCAATGTGATAGAGTATAAACGCGTCCATTTGGAGATCGGCTCGATTGGGCCACAGCAGCACAGCCACCGAGCTGCGAAAATCGTTAACAGCTTGATGGATCTGCTGATGGGATGAGTGCAAGTCCTCTAGCATTGCCATTTCCTGTTCGTTTTGCCGTCCCTGTCCAGTAAAGCGTTTCTGCATTTGCAAAGCATTCTCGAGCTGTTGCACCAAACGCATGACCACAAATCGTCTATAGCGCTCTTCAAAGTATTGCCGGGGCTTATTGTAGCGGCACGTGTTGCGTCTAATAAGTGTCGAGAGTATTGTGACCTCGACACAGGACATCACAACATGCACAACAACGGCCAGAACAATACCGGATAGAATATATTCCATCGGTTCCCGGCGAATCTCATTGAGCCAATAGATCAGATCATAGCCATAATGAACATAATAATAGTCCATTAATGTTACGATACACAACAGCTTCAGCATAATTAGCACAACAATATTATAATTGATATCGCTTATCTGACTAAGAAGGGCACGTGGAATGGCCATCATCACACGGAGCATGATTGCCAGCCAGAGAATTCAATATGTAATTTTGAATGTAAATGCTTGTGCTACAAAATGAATTTCGAATTTTTCTAGGCAACATCGATTCCAAATGTTTCACCCCTAACAATTTTCAATTGAAGATGGACATGATATTGATTGATTTTAAGACCATTTCAATTTCATCATTGCTCCATATATATATATATATGTATATTGGACGCAGTGTTGGCAACTTCCGCTGCCAGCATGTTGCTAAATTGGCTATTGGAAATAGCCAAATTTAGCTTTTAAACAGCAGAATTTGCAACACTGATTGTACCTGCGTTGCCAACTATGGCCTTCAAAATATATATATATTGGAGACAGTGTTGCCAATTCGACTTCAAACAACTTGCAAAATTAGCTGTTGCATGTAAACAGCCAAATTTAGCTAGAAAACAGCAGAGTTGGCAACACTGATTGGACCTGCGCTATGCTACTGCAAGAGTATTTTAATAACTTTTCTTTCCTATTGGTATGTATACACATATACTATATGAAATCGTACTTACATTCAACAGGCGTGCTTGTCTTCGATTTTGAGGCCTCGTTATGCGTTACAATTTCACTTTTGGCTTCTTCCCAGTAACGGGGTTTTGCTACCGCATTGTTGATCACACGCTTGCCGCTGACAATGCGGTGCTGTTGCTTTTGTTGTTCCTTTTGCTGAGGCGGTGGTGGCATACTCTGTGCGTCCATGTCCATGTCCAGTGTCGTCTGTGGTTGCTGCTGTTCGCTGGTTGCATCATTGTAGTGTATGGACGCATAAAGAATTGATTCCAGCTCATTCAATCGCTCACTGTCCATTTCCTCAAGCTGCACACAAAGAGAATTCGAGTGAATATGCTTGCACATATATTTCTTAGTGTGTAGATGTACTAACATCGCTCATCATGCCAGTCCTTGATATATTTTGATATCACTATAATTGTTTTGGACATTAAAAAGCGTATCTTGTTATTTTTATATTATTTTTTTTTTTTTTTAACTTTACACAAAACCACGTTTTGACTAGAGATGATAGAATTGTTGCTCATGTAACGATACATCGGCAATATCGATTTAACAAACAGTGTTGAACAATGTAATAATCGATAAGTAAAAAAGCATACCTTACCGCTTGCAGGCCGGCCACGTACAACTACAAGAAATTAACAAAAATTAAAATACGAATTGAATGTAAGTTTAACAAATGAATTCTAACATAATTACACTTACCTGTTGCATTTGCTTATACAGCATGGAGACAATGCAGCGCTACGTTTCGCCCATCAACCCAGCGGTCTTTCCACACCTAGCCACAGTGCTTCTCATTATTGGTACATTTTTCACAGCCTGGTTCTTTGTTTTTGTTGTCTCGCGCAAGAGCACAAAAGAGAACACATTAATTAAGGAGCTCCTAATCAGCCTGTGCGCGTCGATATTTCTCGGATTTGGCATTTTGTTTCTTTTACTAACCGTTGGCATATATGTATGAGAAACAAATCAATTGTTAGCATTCCGATTTTAAGATAAATATATACTTACATATGTAGATGCATTTAATTATTAATGCGCGTGCGAACGTACGTTGGGTTTATTCATATACATGTATGTAATTTCAAAGATTTAATTTAAACTTAAAGCAATACCGAATATATTATAATAACATATCAATTGTGTGCGGCTTGAATATTAGTTGCACTTGAAAACTGCAAATGAAATTATTCCTGCAATATATTGGACACATCCTTCACATCCTACTAGCCAGCCAATCCCGCCTTTTGTCTACATTTTTGCATTGTAGCACGCAAAATGAATTGCTTGCGTGATAGTGTGCGCACATGCTTCAAGAACGTCTCAAGATCAATAACTCCGCCGCGCAGCCCCTCGCCTAAATAGTAGATGGCATCCTCTGTGGCAGCTTCATCAGCGTAGGCATTGAGTAATCTATAAATAGGCCAATTAGACATGGGAGACAAAATTGTATCTGGTCTCGAATCACTAACTGTCTATATAATGGTGCAGTTGTGGTAACTGCCTCGTCAGGATCGATGGCTTCTGCACTCTCGAGAGTCTCCAGACTTTTCTTCAATTCCTCCTCCTTATCCCTCAATATGCTAATGTTCTTCTGCAAATCAACTTCCTCCCGCTCCAAGCGAGTTACGATGGCATCAATCTTGGCACTACCCTCCACCAATTCTTGCTTGGTGCGATTCAATGTTTCGATTTCAGCTTGATACTGATTTACCTTCTCCTGTATGCGACGCCTCAACTTGTCCTCGACGGCGCTAATAAGCGATGCCTTAATGTGCTCCTCTGTAATTGTACCCGTTGAGCTCGGATTGGCATTACCAGCGGGATTCTAAGATGAGGAATATCTGTTATCTATATCGTGTATCAATTGTTGTTTCATATAGCTCACATATCCAGCGGCGCCCGGATAGACTCCTGGCTGTGGGTAATTCATGTAGGGCTGATAGCCGGCGGAGTTTCCTGCCGGTCCACCAGTCGCCGGATAGGGCATATAGTTGCCACCAGTGGGATATGGCGGAAAGTTACCACCGCTAGCGCCGGTTGCGCTTGGATAAGGTAGAAACTGATTTGAGGCACCTGGACCGCCGGGCTGAGGCATGAAAGCTTAAATGCGAGGCATCAGCGCATGAAAACACTCAAGATTGATTTGCACTTACAATTCGATGGATATGGCGCGGCAACCTGCTCCTTCGGCTTGGAGTAAACGGGCGGATGATCACCGAATGTCACAATCATAACCTGTATAAGCGATAGCAGATCCGAGCTATGCGGCTGCCAGTCGTGCAAGTAGGGCAAGTACACTTTACCATTGTGATCCACATACATGGACACCTTGATCTGCATGGTTGGCGTTGGTTTCACAAAGCACATGGGCGCATTTTGTGGATGGGTATCCATCAGCCATATGCATATGGGAATGTAGTAGGTGTTGTCTGTGAAATCAATATATGAATATGTATATATTCATGTGTTTTGATTCAGTTAAAAGGGGCCTGAGAAGAACACTTACTTTTGTAGACCACCGGAATGGTGCCCTGCAGTGCAAACAAATCTTTTGAGCTTCCATCGTTGAAAACTTGGGGGAGGAATTGTTTATTATTATTTGTATAAAACTTACTCATCAAAAATGCCACAGCTTACCAAATTTTTGCAGGTCATATGTCAGACTGCGATAAGTGGTAACGACATCGACAACATCTTTCCTGGTGGCCGCAACATTTTTATACTGTAAATGCGTGTGGTCATTAATTAATCAACAATTTAATATTGCGTGACGGGCAACAGGACGGATAATGCCCACCGAGAACATGACTCATCGTACCTTTGATAGATATTTGGTGATTTGTGCCTCTTCGATGGCAGGCATTATAGTTCGTTAATAATAAGTCGAATTTAGAGTTAGCACCTGCTGCTATAACAATGATTTTAAAGCAAATTTCTTTATAGTCGCAGAACGAAAACAAAAGTCGTCGATTGAGTACTTTGATGTGACAGCATCGAGTACATTGACACAATTATCGCATGTGTACGATAACACTTAGTATATATATATCGATAATAAACTACGTTATATGTGCGATTGGCTCTAGCATTACGAAAACGTTACATTTCACAACATTCAAAATACAATTAATGGGTATGTCTGGAGGAAAATATAAATTGATTTTAAAGTTTGTGCATACAAAACGCCATTTAAAAAATGATTGTTTATTTGTGAAATTAGTTGCTACAAATATGGAAAATGATATGTTCATCGTCTTTCTTTCATTCTGTTGATGCAGATAAATGGAGCGATTGCCGGCAGTTAACTTTGTCTTAGGCGCAACTATGTGGCGTTTGGGCGTCTGTAAACAAATAAGAGCACAGAAATCATAATTTGTAATAAATTGAAAGGTCGCCACATTGGCTTGGCTTTGTATCTTAAGTGTTACTTTATTTGAATACTTTCGTTTTTGTCTCTTTACTCATTAGGCATATATGCATATATCTATATACATATTCATATATACATATATATATATTTTATATATATCTATATATTAATATGTATATAGCTATATAGTTTACGTGTGTGTTTGCTTATTTTGTGTCAGTGTACTTAGCCAATGTTCAGTTAACTAGGCATTACTATAGGTATTGTTCATTTGTTACTTTTTAAATATATAATATATATATATATATTTTATATAAATATGTATTTTTGTAATAGGTTTAAATATATATATTATAAAAATCATCATCATCATCGTCATCGTCGTCGTCGTAGTCGTCGTTTTAAGCGCACTCGCTTTCTCATTGTGGGTGGTAGTTAAATTTAGTTGTTAAATTTGTGGATTACACATATAAAAATAATTTTTCAGTTTTACTTGCGTTTCTCTTACGCTACACGTATATTATTTGTGTATTTCATTTATTTATACTATGCACATCTTGTCTATGTACTTGCATATGCTGGAAAATGTGAGGGAGGCAGATAGAGTATCTAGGGCATACGACTTACGACTAAAAACCATTAAATAGTTTCAACTCATTCTTTTCTTTGTTATCAGCTTATCCGCATTAGGTTTACATAAATTAAATGTTATTGTTAGAATACAAAATGGTTTCGTTCGCATCATATATATATATATATATATATATGTATATATATATATTGTATTTTCCATTATTTTCATATTTGTGCTACGTATTTGCATTATTATTGCTTTAATCGGCGCCTGCATATTTTTCAAAGTTCCAATTTCAATTTCACTTTCAATTAGTTAATTCTTCTGTTTTGGTTAAGCGTGCATAATAAGTATTCTCAAATTTTTGTATCAATTCAGTTTCTCATTATTCATGCATGGTTTCTTTAATCTTTTGGCACATTAATGCATTCATTGCCGTGCGTGCTCGTTAAATTAGTTAAACAAGTGTTTCATCATAATTCATCATAAATAACAACACATGCTGCTACAGACTCACAGTTCAAAATGTTTACGAAACGTAAGTGTTTTAACAACAAGTGAAGCGTGGGCGTGGTCGTCGTCTGTGTGTGTATGCGTGTGTGTGTGTGTGTGTGTGTGTGAGCACAATATACATATAAAATATTTTAGATAGCAACGTTTCTTTCACTTTTGTTTTATTTTATATCAAATTAATGAAAAATTGTACATAGTTAGCGAGCGCAAAATAAAAATGCATTTGCACGGATATTTCAAGTCGATATATATATATATAATATATATATATATTTCTTTTTTTAAGGTTTGTTCTGTTCCACTTTGCTTGGGTGATTCATTCCGTTTTTTTTATTTTTATTATTTTTTTTTTTTTTTTAATTGTATCGAGAAAAATTTGTTCTAAAATGTCAGTCTATTGCGCAAGAATCTACTTTTGTGCTCGGCTTACTGCTACAACGAATTCCTAAGTTTAAATGTTGCAGTTGTTTATTTATTTATTTTATCTCCGTTTTTGTCTTCTTTTTTCATTCGTTATTTTTTTTTTTATAATTTATATATAAAAAAATTCCCTAATATGCATTGTCATTATCGTTTCAATGAATGCGACTTTTTCGCATTGCCGCCTGTCCAACTCGTGTGGGTGTATCTGTGTGTGTGTGTGCGGGAGTGTCTCTTATGTGTGTGTGTATCTGTTTGTTTGTGTCTGCGTCTGTGTGTGTGTGTGTATGTGCAAGTATTTGTGTCGCGCTGACATTTGATGTTAGCTCGATAAGACCTACATACATATACATACATATGCCCAGAATTGGGATCATTGTCACGCTACTGCCACTACATGCTGATAATTGCTACATCTACGGGCTACTTTCTGGCTTGATAGGGGCAAGGACTTAGGCTAGCTTCGTGTACGCGTAGGCGGCAATGACGCCGACCACAACGCCAGCGGCAATATATGTGAGTAATGACCTTCGTTTTTTCGCCGCCTGCTGATTGTCCTCGTTCTCACGCTGTTTGCGTTTAATTTCGTTGACTTTATGCTCCAGATTCGACTGGTATTCGTTGCGTTTTCGCCGCTTCAGCTCGTCGCCGGTACTGTGAAAATTATATAGGCATTATTAATATATACCGTTAAGCCCTTATAAATATTTGTGCAGTCAGATGTACCTCACTGTCAAATCAATGCCATTGACCTTATGCTGATCGACTGCAGTTGGCTTCTCGCTGTTGGCATTGACATCATCTTCGTGTGGTTGCAACAAGATGACATCGCCATTCGCTTGCTGCTCATTGATGTTCTCGTACACCTCTTCGTCCTCGTCGTCATCGTTCACATCGTATTCCTCATTGTCATCGCTATCCGATTCCTGTTCGCTGTGCTGCGGTAACGTAGGCAGCGGTGGCAGTGGACGATTGTTAAGCAGACTGTCTGCCACTTCGGCATTGACAATCTCTGGCTGATTGATAATAATGTTGTTGAGCGCATCTTTGCTGCTCAAGGTCTGTTTATCGGCGATGACATCCCCGTCGCCCATCTTATCTCCATTGGCCTGTGCCGCATGCATGTCCAGAGAGAGCA